TTTGAACAACACCAATACTTATCTTCTACTTCGTAACGTCGAGAGAAGTATAATGAAAAATTGCCGTTTTTAAAAGTTTTCTGTTTTACTTGATATTGTCTTGAAAAGCCAATGTTGTAATAAACCATAAAGCCTTTGTATGAAGTTACAAAAATATTCTTGTAAATGAAGATACACAAATTTTCTTGTTTATGAAGCTGCAAAAATGTACTTGTTTATGTAGGTTAAAAAATATCTTGTTTATGAAGCTACAAAAATGTTCTTGTTGAGATAGCAACAAGGATATTTTTGGCTTATATAGACTCAAAAACGTTTTTTGTGTACTTAGCCACAAAAATTTCCTTGTTTACGTATCATCAAAAATGTTCCTTATTGCAAAACTACAGAAGTGTCCTTGTTCATGGAACAACAAAAATGTCCTTTTTTCCTTAGTCCAAAAATGTCTTTGTTTCTGTAACCACAAAAATGTCCTTGTTTACGTATCATCAAAAATTTACTTTATTGCAAAACAAAAAAAGGGTACTTGTTCCATGGAACAACAGAAATGTTCTTGTTCATGTAACTACAAAACTGTCCTTGTCATAACTCGTAAAGACTAATTACGAGAACCAACCAGTAAAAAAACTTATTTTATGTGGCACACTGCACCATTTATGCAATCTGTTGGCAACATTATGCTATTTAGCAGTTGACAGATGACTCTATAGTGCCGAAATACAACCCCAATTGCACAGATTTTTCATCTGAATTATGAAAAGTTTTTTCTTATAATCTTCTCTATTGTTAATGAGTTCGCTTAATTTAGTGTTGGTCCTTAGGTTTATCATCCTCTGAAAGGTTATTAACCTGAAGTCTGAAGTATATTGAAGCATCTGAATTCTGTCTTTGCATGTCTCTGTCTCTGTGTTTTCATCTGTCTATTAACCTGTTAATCTCATTTGACTCAATTGTCATGTGTGAATATTAACCTAGCTGTCTATACTGCCTTAATTACGATTTGATAAGCGTCAACTTTGAAAATGGCTTTGAATGCCTTATGCGTACGATTCTAGGCGACTTACCTAACCTATTGAAGTTGATGTTTTTGTTACCTGAGAAGCGTCAATATTAGGGTAATTGAATTTCACAGGAGCACGGAAAGTCTGACGCCAAGGTCTGTAGGGTCATGAATGCGGTGCATGAAAGTGTGAGGACAGGTTGATCTTCTTAGTGTATGTACATATATAGAGTTTTAGGAATAGAGTGTATTTGAAGGGTATATATACACTCACGGACAGTGTGTACTTATCCCTTCACAATGTACACAGCTTTTCCTCCTCTATAGTTCGTCAACGTTATGGCCCTTGACTTGCTGTCTGGCTGAGGAGGTGACGACCACAAGAATTGATCTCTGTGCTCCAGACTGACCCGTTCAAGAATAACAGCTTATAACTAATGGTTCAAGTGTTTCCTAAGTAGAATTAGGTTTACAAATTGTTTATATAATTTTTGCATATTAGTAAATGAGAAATTAAAAACAAGAACAAAATGGCCATTTTGCAAACTATAGTTATATTTATATCTGATATCATAATCTAATCATAGACTACAAATGTCTACTTACGACAAGCAATAATACTCAATAATGCTTAGCTTCCAGCTCAACAAGCAATAATGTAGGGGCAAAATCTAGAAAATCTTCATCCTTCAGAGAGTAATAAACCAACAGAATCCCCTATCCGTTGCGAAGATAGTCTAATTAATTGTCTAAAATTAAAAGGTCAAAAATATTACTTCAGATTAAATTTCAGCTAGATTAAAACCCTCATGAACAACGTGGGGAGGAGCCTCTGAAAAACCGCCGGCTTCCTGTCCCCATCGGGGCCACTAAAGATGGTGGCGCTCAAATAAATTCAGGTAAGCCATTTAAGTACACCATCAATAGCAAACTCAAAAAACACCATATTTTGTGACTTAATCTGTGAGGCACAGAATTCCAAAAAGAAGAGATTCATATTTTTTTATAAACATAAAATATGATTTGCATACATAATTATTTGGGAATTTCTGCATCCCAGTGCTACTGTTCGACTCTATCAAGCTGAGAAGTTCCATCATATATTAATCATAAATGTATATACAGCCTCTACAACCACCATCTGCACAACATCCACAACCAACATCTATACAACGTCCACAGCCAACATCTATACAACGTCCACAGCCAACATCTGCACAACGTCCACAACCAACATCTGCACAACATCTGCACAACATCCACAACCAACATCTATACAACGTCCACAGCCAATATCTATACAACGTCCACAGCCAACATCTGCACAACGTCCACAGCCAACATCTGCACAACATCCACAACCAACATCTGCACAACGTCCACAACCAACATCTGCACAACATCTGCACAACATCCACAACCAACATCTGCACAACATCCACAACCAACATCTGCACAACATCCACAACCAACATCTGCACAACGTCCACAACCAACATCTGCACAACATCCACAACCAACATCTGCACAACATCCACAACCACATCTGCACAACGTCCACAACCAACATCTGCACAACATCCACAACCACTATCTGCACAACATCCACAACCAACATCTGCACAACGTCCACAACCAACATCTGCACAACATCTGCACAACATCCACAACCAACATCTGCACAACATCCACAACCAACATCTGCACAACATCCACAACCAACATCTGCACAACGTCCACAACCAACATCTGCACAACATCCACAACCAACATCTGCACAACATCCACAACCAACATCTGCACAACGTCCACAACCAACATCTGCACAACATCCACAACCAACATCTGCACAACGTCCACAACCAACATCTGCACAACGTCCACAACCACTATCTGCACAACATCCACAACCAACATCTGCACAACGTCCACAACCAACATCTGCACAACATCTGCACAACATCCACAACCAACATCTGCACAACGTCCACAACCAACATCTGCACAACATCCACAACCAACATCTGCACAACATCCACAACCAACATCTGCACAACGTCCACAACCAACATCTGCACAACATCCACAACCAACATCTGCACAACGTCCACAACCAACATCTGCACAACGTCCACAACCAACATCTGCACAACATCCACAACCAACATCTGCACAACGTCCACAACCAACATCTGCACAACATCCACAACCACTATCTGCACAACATCCACAACCAACATCTGCACAACATCCACAATCACTATCTGCACAACATCCACAACCAACATCTGCACAACATCCACAACCAACATCTACACAACGTCGTCAACCATCACCTCTACAATCACAGTCGTTTAGGTACACCATCGTTTAATCGATGGTACACCATCGTTTAATCGATGGTACACCATCGTTTAGGTACACAGTCGTTTAGGTACATTATCACCTGATAATGAGGGGAACATGATCTCAACATTAAAGATACTGAGAGGGAATTGAAAGGTGGACGAGGACAGACTGTTTTAATTTAAAGAAAGTAAGAATGGAGAACATAAGTGAAAGCCTGAAAAACAAATTGACCGAAGGAATGAAAGGTAAATACCCGTACCCTTGAATGGGTAGTCAATAAGTAGAATTCACTGAAAGAAGAGGAATTAAATTGTTGAGCAACTGGTACTAATGACGAGGAACCCTGGTCAGAGACCGTGCCGCGGGGACATTGATCCACGGAACATTTCAACAGGTAATCAGTAAGTAGGTATTAACATAAGGCTAGTAGATGGGGCATAAAGAGCTCGACTTCACATCCTTATAGTCACGATTAAGTAGCACTGTTAAGTAAGCACCATCACTAACCAATAACATCACCACAAACCATCGTTATATCCACCACCACTAACACCATCACTGCCACCACCACCACCACTATCACGGCCACCATCACCCCCGACACCACCACCACCACCACCACCACCACTATCACGGCCACCATCACCACCGATACCATCATCATCACTGCCACCACCACCATCACCACCCCCCACCACCACCATCACCATAACATAGTTTATAACGTTATATACACTACCTCATATATATATATATATATATATATATATATATATATATATATATATATATATATATATATATATATATATATATATATAACTTATGTTTATGATTTAAAAATCAATAATATGTAATTTGCAAATAATTTCATTATTAACGGCTACACTAAGTTATTGTTATTGTTTATAAATTATAAGTAAATAATATTTTTACGCGGGAGTTTGGATATCCTGAACACATTCCTGTGTACGCAAACAAAACGTTTAATTGATGTGTATCGTATTATAATTATTCACTCCAAATGTAGAATATTATGAGTGGACGATCCGGTAATTGGTCGAACTCCTTCTATAAACAGGTGGACGTATTTACCTTATGATTAACACTTAACGAACTACGAAATAGGCTCATAATACGAAGCCAGTCATTACGGCCTGACCAATTAGACAGGTATGATCAGATTCCATCATTTTCACCACGAGCAAAGGCTCATGATAGAGCAACGGTCTCGCTTCATGCAGGTCGGCGTTCAATCCCCGACCGTCTAAGTGACAGGGCACCATCCCTTTACCCCTCTGTTCATCCCAAATCCTGTCCTGTTCATCGTCAGACGTCTGAGATGAGGGTTATCACTACCTGCCCAGGAGCCCCAGCGGGTATCACGTAAAACTTGGATTGTGGGTTCAAGCTTACAGGGCCTTCCGAATGCCATGTGAGTTCACTACACTGTCGGGTTGTGGTGTAACTCGTGGCTCGTGTGTCGGTAAGGTGCGTGACTGAGGGAGGTCAAGAGACGGGTGTTCGATCCCACCGTATTGCCCCAAATAGCTTTTTCATTAATGCATTATGCTGTTGTGATTAATATTTGCTGGGAATCTAGTCAGTCTCCTATCAACGTGCGAGGAGTGGAAGCAGGCGCAGCGTAGCTTACAATAGTCACTATAAAGTGATAACCAAAGTCACTCCATTAGAGTAACCAGACACTATGAGAGAATTTCATTGTGCTTTACTTATCTAACGTGGAATTAAATCCATAGATGTACGTAAGACACTTAACGTCAGCGCTTTCAGCTTGGTCTTGGAATCCCTTCTGTTTGTGTGTGGGATGCCTCTTAATGCCTAAACAGTTCGGCTACAGATAAATCACCATCACAAGCACTAATGTCACCACATCCCACCACCATCACTATCACCACCACTATCACCACCACCACACACCACCACCACCACCACACACCACCACCACCACCCCCACCACCACCACCAATACCACCTCATCCAACCACCACCACCACCACTACCACCACACCCAACCACCACCACCACCACCACCACCACTACCACCACCACCACCACTACCACCACCACCAACACCACCACTATCACCACCACCATCACCACCACCCCACCACCACACGTAGGGTAAAAAAACAGTTAAAAAAAACTAACTGATAAATAATGCATTTGGCGTTCGGTGCACAGAAGGTAATCGTAGGTAGCGACTGAAGCAGTTGAAGGTAAAGGTAATAATTCTGTTAATCAATGATTCAGGTGACACAGACCCGGCTCTTTATAAGGCAAGTTTCTGATTCCAGAAATTATTTCAGTCATCCTTCTGTCAAAACTTTCTAAGAGATTTTACATCCATTCTAAACTTTGGAGTCTTTACAAAGTAGTTTATAATCCACGTGGCACCTGACACGAGCAAGATGAAGTTGACTATGTAGTGTGACACCCAGGTCTCCACTACACTGTGGTGTGACACCCAGGTCTCCACTACACTGTGGTGTGACACCCAGGTCTCCACTACACTGTGGTGTGACACCCAGGTCTCCACTACACTGTGGTGTGACACCCAGGTCTCCACTACACTGTGGTGTGACACCCAGGTCTCCACTACACTGTGGTGTGACACGCAGGTCTCCACTACACTGTGGTGTGACACCCAGGTCTCCTCTACACTGTGGTGTGACACCCAGGTCTCCACTACACTGTGGTGTGACACCCAGGTCTCCACTACACTGTGGTGTGACACCCAGGTCTCCACTACACTGTGGTGTGACACCCAGGTCTCTTCTACACTGTGGTGTGACACCCAGTCTCCACTACACTGTGGTGTGACACCCAGGTCTCCACTACACTGTGGTGTGACACCCGGTCTCCACTACACTGTGGTGTGACACCCAGGTCTCCACTACACTGTGGTGTGACACCCAGGTCTCCACTACACTGTGGTGTGACACCCAGGTCTCCACTACACTGTGGTGTGACACCCAGGTCTCCACTACACTGTGGTGTGACACCCAGATCTCCACTACACTGTGGTGTGACACCAAGGTCTCCACTACACTGTGGTGTGACACCCAGGTCTCCACTACACTGTGGTGTGACACCCGGTCTCCACTACACTGTGGTGTGACACCCAGGTCTCCACTACACTGTGGTGTGACACCCAGGTCTCCACTACACTGTGGTGTGACACCCATTCTCCACTACACTGTGGTGTGATACCCAGGTCTTTACTACACTGTGGTGTGACACCCATTCTCCACTACACTGTGGTGTGACACCCATTCTCCACTACACTGTGGTGTGACACCCATTCTCCACTACACTGTGGTGTGACACCCAGGTCTCCACTACACTGTGGTGTGACACCCAGGTCTCCACTACACTGTAGTGTGACACCCCAGGTCTCCACTACACTGTGGTGTGTCACCCAGTCTCCACTACACTGTGGTGTGACACCCAGGTCTCCACTACACTGTAGTGTGACACCCCAGGTCTCCACTACACTGTGGTGTGTCACCCAGTCTCCACTACACTGTGGTGTGACACCCGGTCTCCACTACACTGTGGTGTGACACCCAGGTCTCCACTACACTGTGGTGTGACACCCAGGTCTCCACTACACTGTGGTGTGACACCCAGGTCTCCACTACACCGTGGTGTGACACCCAAGTCTCCACTACACTGTGGTGTGTCACCCAGTCTCCACTACACTGTGGTGTGACACCCAGGTCTCCACTACACTGTGGTGGGTCACCCAGGTCTCCACTACACTGTGGTGTGACACCCAGGTCTCCACTACACTGTGGTGTGTCACCCAGTCTCCACTACACTGTGGTGTGACACCCAGGTCTCCTCTACACTGTGGTGTGACACCCAGGTCTCCTCTACACTGTGGTGTGACACCCAGGTCTCCACTACACCGTGGTGTGACACCCAAGTTAACACTACAGCAACATGAGGTTCAACACCCCACGTCCAGCTGTCCTTCACGACACACCTCCCAACTATTCTTGTGAGGCTCCTCTCCCTCTGGCACTCTCTCTCATGTTCCGCATATGTTCATCTCATTAATCCCCTTCCCACCCATTCCACATTCTCAGTGGACACTCCCGCTTTCTCCCGGCTGCTGTACACGTCCATTCTCTGTCCCATTAGTTTCCACATGAGCCATTACTTCCCATGCTCTACATGGTTTTATTTCCATCCGGCCCTCCTCCTTCTCCTCCCTTCCCGGCTTCTTGTCCCTTTGTTTTACACAGGTGTGTGTAAAAACAATGTGGGAGCAGAGACGTCTTAACAAAACAACAGTTGTAAAATGCTTTCCCTTCCGGAAGCTCCAAATCGTCTCTTTATCTCTGGTTTAGACACCCTATAAGACTGTCTCCCATGCCAGGGTTCGATTCGCACTGTCATTCCGGCTTTTTTCTCAGTATTTGCGTATTATATTCCATTCAGAACAATCACGCATTTCAAGGTGGCTTGGAAATTCATATCCGGCTTTTTCGAGGATTTGCGCACCGGGTTATTCTCTGCTGAGGCGTCCGGCTAGTCCCATTTTCTTTGAGATTCTGAGCTGATTTGATGGCAGTCTTGCATGTTTTTCATATGTTTACTTTTATTGTTAAAAGTGAGAGCTTACAAGCTTATGTTTTGGTAATTTATACCTTTTTTTATATATTTAAAATCAAAATATATTTATATATTAATGTTTTATGTATGAATATCTATACATGCATACTTAGGGAAGAAAAGGCATCAGCGTAAATGTATGGGTATGATTATACAGGAAAACATATGTATACAAGCATACGATAATCATACAGACTAACCTATGCATCTAACACAAGCAAATATGTACATACTGAAACAAGGAACCATATACACCCATCACAAAAAAGTATGTACGCAACATAAGGATAACCAGACAACATACACGCATCACAAACATATACACTCAGACGCATGCAGTTATTCACACGCAACACATGTAGTTATACACACGCAACACAT